TGTATTTGAAAGACACCAAAAATGTAAATATCAAAATAAAATACGAGTCTTGAACATGCTCCGTCTTCTCAAAATCTGGTCCAGTGTACCTATTTACTGGTGACCTGAGAATACAAGTTATTTTGAAAGAGTAGATCAGCATTAAAGCTGGTGAGTTTATAAGTATTTTTGTGTCAAATGTTTGCATAAGTTTGATGGAAAAGTTTGTGAGTGTTTTGATGTAAATGTTTGTATACTTCGTAGAAAATCCTATATTTTCTGCTAAAATGGATAGTAGTCTTCTACCAAGACTCGACTGTTTTGTATGTTTGTTCTTTTGTAAAAGTGAGTGTTTTCCCAAGTATATGACTATTATTACCAGAAAATAGTTTACATTACCTTTTATGTGAGAAGATCACTATATGAATGTAATGGGAAAATGAAGATGTACAGTAGTATTGTATAAAGCAACTACAGATGTACTAACTACCTTAAAACCAACTTGTTTAATTAAGGTAAAATGTGATGAGGTTATAACCATGCTTGATTGACTAGTATAAAACACGACGTTCCAAAGACATCGAAATGGTATGACATTTGTCACCCATAGACCTGCAGGTCCCACTGTAGCTAGCAGCAAGGTGTAGGATGGTCAATCCCGTATAGATCTATACACAAACTCACGCTCTCCCTCCAGGAGACTCTGGTTACAAAACATGACAAGCAGTATATTGCTATGCCATGAAGTAGTGGATCACATTAATGTTATCTTGCTCTTGTATTATATTATGTATGTTCCTGTCTGTTCTTGTTATAGTATGTTCCTTTTTGTTCTAGTTGTAGTATGTTCCTTCTTGTTCTAGTTATAGTATGCTCCTTTATGTTCTTGTTATAGTATGTTTGAACTGACTCATGTATGAACTGACTCATGTAAGTTTCACTGTTCTAGAAGTAGTATGTAGTATCCTCTAAACTGTACCTATTATAGTTTACTAGTACGATTGTTTGACTGTTACTGATGTGTAGAAAAGACTCAATTACTCACCACGCAACTAAGTTAAGTATAATCTTTAAAATGGGTTTAATATTCACATATCTATTCAATAAGTATAACTATGATTTAACCGATATTCGGACTAGTGATCCTACCCCGAGCCCACAGCCAAACAAGGAACAGGAGTCAAGGTATATATCAATAGTCCTAAGTCTGTTAAAGCATACTTATACGTAAATAGATAGATGAATATGATTTGATGTATAAGAAGTTTATAAAAGCTTTAAAAGAGTTTTCAACAAGTTTGAGTATAAGAAATCCTTTTGAATGTTGTTTTCAC